TAGGTGTAGAACACTTGTTTAATCAATATATTTCCAGTGGTCTCTGGTAGGAATTAACGCCATGCAAGCCGTACTCAGGGTAAAAACAAGCCCAGAAGCGCCTGGATCAGTACGGACAAGCCTGCTGCAGCTAGAGCTGTAGCAAAGCGTTGATGACGTCGACGGCTCGATTCAAAAACTTTTTAGACGTCAGATCTGGTAGTCGACGCACCACGCCCACTTGTTGCATCCTCAGGAGTTTATAAATAGAGGAGGAATCTGCCTGTTTTTCCTCTAGTTCGCCCTCTTCTCCGCCTTCACTAACATCTCCACCAAATACCGAAGACCCGGAACAATGTCCGTCCGCTACTAGATTCCTTTCCTGTTTAGCCCGCCTTCGTCTCCCGCCAACGGACAACAACTTCCAGAGTCAAATGCACTGCTTTGTCTCTACTGCAGACGTAGAAAATCACCAGTAGTTTCTCCCTTCATAAAGGAGCTTCTTTCAGACATTAGGAGAGATGTTTTGTAGGGCTGTAGCGAAGCCTCGACGAAGTCGACGGCTCGATTCTAAAAATTTGTCGACGTCAGATCCGGAAGTCGACGCACCACGCCCACTTGTTGCATCCCCAGGAGTTTGTAAATAGAGGAATCTGCCTGTTTTTCCTCTAGTTCGCCCTCTTCTCCGCCTTCACTAACATCTCCGCCAAATACCGAAGACCCGGAACAACGTCCGTCCACTACTAGATTATTTTCCTGTTTTGCCCGCCTTCGTCTCCCGGCAACGGGCAACAACTTCCGGGGTCAGATGCGCTGCTTCGTGTCTATCGCAGATGTAGAAAATCACCGGGAGCGCTTCTCCCTTCATTAAGGAGCTTCTTTCAGACATGAGGAGAGCTGTTTTGGTGGTAGCAGTCTCTCCTCCGTGCTGGTCTGTTTGCTGCTGGGTGTTTTTGGTTTATTTAAACTTGGTAACTTTAACTTAACGTTGGTAAAGCTACTGTTAGCATCTTCGCTAACAGCTTCTTGCGTTGGGATAAGCTGTTACGTTTTGGTTTAGAGTTCATCTTTTTTGTGGTGCAGATCTCCCTTTTATTACATTTAGAGTGTTGTGGGATTTGGTTTAGTGTAAAATATCACCTGAGTTTGGTTTAACCCGTAAGACCTCGCCTCACGCACATAAGTGACCAAAACAAAGCAGCATGGAGACACTCCATCTTCTACCACCTCTCAGGCAGCAGCCTGCACTCCCAAGTTCTCCACGTCACCAGAACATAACCAACCACAACACAATAAAAGCAGTGTTATACAAAATGGAAGGCCTGTAGTGTTTATTCTCTTACAGTAAGAATTTATCCATTTTTTTGAGGAATTTATTTGAGATTTTCTGGTTTTTGTTAATTGTGCAATAGAAAAATAATCATTAGATTAATTTTCTAAATAGTCATTAGAATAGTCGACTATTCGATAAAATAATCGTCAGAATAATCGTTTTAAAAATAATCGTTTACCCCCAGCCCTAATGTTTTGGTGGTAGCAGTCTTTCCTCCGTGCTGGTCTGTTTGCTGGGTATTTTGGTTTATTTAAACTTGGTAACTTGAACTTAACGTCGGTAAAGCTACTGTTAGCATTTTTGCTAACAGCTTCTTGCGTTTGGATAAGCTGTTACGTTTTGGTTTAGAGTTCATCTTTTGTGTGGCGTAGATCTTCATTTTATTACATTTAGAGTGTTGTGGGTTTTCGGTTTAGTTTAAAATATCACCTTGAGTTTGGTTTAACCACCCAGTTTAGAGTTTGGACCTTTGGAGATCCTTATTTTGGTCCAGAACCCTGTAATCTTTGCCCAGTGGGACATCCCTACTCATTTGTACTTTTATTTTAATTCCCCACAGGCAGAATTAGTTTTATTATTCCCAACCTGTGGATGGAAACATTTATGTTTTGTTGTTGTTGTAAATCAACCGATCATCATTTTAACTTTTAAGTCTCGTGTTATTGTCCCTTCCTTTTTGCACACGAGCCAAACTCCCCAGGAAGGGTCGTAACACCACTCGCCTCATGCACATAAGTGACCAAAACAAAGCAGCATGGAGACACTCCGTCCCCAACCACCTCTCAGGCAGCAGCCTGCTCTCCCAAGTTCTGCACGTCACCAGAACATAACCAACCAACACAATAAAAGCAGTGTTATACAAAATGGAAGGCCTGTAGTGTTTATTCTCTTACAGTAACAATTTATCAATTTTTTTGAGGAATTTATTTGAGAATTTCTGGTTTTGTATTAATTGTGCAATAGAAAAATAATCGTTAGATTAATCATCTAAATAGTTATTAGAATAGCCGACTTTTCGATAAAATAATCGCCACGGTCTCCAACAGAGGACGGCGGTGTTTCAAACCCTCCCAGCGGGCGGGGAGAGCTCATTCCTGGGTCGGAGCCGGCCGGCAGCAGCGGGGTATACAAAATGTGGTATATAAGTCGCAGGACCAGCCAGACTATGAAAAAAGTGTTACTTATAGTCCGGAAAATACGGTACATGTCCTCCAAAATATGTGGCTCCAAAAACGATAAAAACAAATACTAAAATCCTGCTGGTAGATATAATCTGACAAGACTAACTTTCAAAATGAAAAAAAAATTGTTAAGAATTATGACAATAAGCTAATTAAAGATGTTGACCAAAAATAAATAAAAACACATTAAGGTATTACCTCCACTGTGTATGTGGACATGTGATCAGCAGGTGGTCAAAGATGAATTTGCACTCAGACAACTAAAAAAGTAAGTGTCCCATTTCATTAAGGATCCAGGAAAAAAATTATGTCTTCAATTAGTTCCGTTTTCATCTCTGATCTTTCGTACTGATCTGATCACTCAGGATGCACGTCTGAAGAGAACCACTCAAATAGCTTGTCGTCATCGCCCCCTCCCTCTTTAGCGTTGGCATCTCTGGCAGGTACAGTACTAACAACTAGACAACTTGGGCACTTTATATCTGATCAGTGGGCACCGGGTTATATTGTGTGCCTTGATTGATGCTCCAATAATAAAAAACTGACTCTTTTTTAAAACTCAAAAATGTGACGGCAAACTTTACAGTATTGTGAAAAAAATACACAATGCTGCCATTTCACCAGTCCAATGAGTCAGTTCACCCCTGATTCTCCTCAGGAAATCATTTCCTTTTAATTCCTTCAATTTCCTGTAGAAGTCTGGTTTCTCTGATGCCCTTTAAGCTCATAATTATGGGGCTGCGTATGCATTTTGGTTCTCTTGAAGATCAAAACTCCTGTATGAACTTGCATTTACAAATTCTAGCCTGGCTACTGTCTGCCTTATTCTAGGGCACAAAACAGATCTAAAAATTTGGGAAACATATATAGACACATTAAAAATAGCAACTGCACCATGTTAAATCGATTTCAATTACTCGAGTTAACCTTCAAATTGCATTTTTTTTAATTAAAACAACCTCTGTAAATTAAAGAGATCTTTGTGGCAGCCATATCCCTGAGACTATTATACTGTAATATTTGGCTTTTTAAGTATTCTGTATTTAAACATTCCTATCACTCACACACATACAGCCCTAATAAACTCATCACACTGGTTGCCTCTCTTGAATTCAGTACTCGAATGGAAACTCTTGCATTTTGAATAGACTTTTCAAGCAAAGGTCAGAGTTTACACTTGGATTTTGCATACCGACCATACATTTCTTTTTTGCACGTGCTCTTTGAACGCTGAATAGACTCGAAGGTCAGCATTAAAATTACCCACCGAAAAAATGGCCTCTGCCGTTTCCTTCTACATTAAAATAAAAGCAAGCCATGCAAGATGGGAAACTGTTTTTGCGTCTGCAGGATTAATATAAACAGTAGAGGCACTGGCTGTGATTGTTTTTCCTGCCCTCAAATTATGCTGACATGTTATTTCTTCTCCCAGGGCTGTAAAGTTCACTTTGAATAGTTATTTTTCCCTTACTCCACTTAAAAAAAATTCCATCTCCAAAAAAAAAAATAACTGTTCAAATGGCTGAAAATTCATTAAAATCATAGAAAATAAGCAAAAAATAATTCAAGGAATCAAGTATTTTGCATCACCTTCATTCCTGCTTTTATTATTATATTATGATTACAGCTCAAATACTCAAAAATAATGATTTGTTTTTAAAAGATCTACAAAAAAACTCAAACAAATCAGAGCAATAATAATGATTTGTGATTTCAAAGATTTTTTTACCGTAATATACCCAAAAGGGCGCAGCAAACAACTTCGTGTGGTTTTAGGAACATTCCAAAACCATACAACATATATGTGTGTGTGCGTTGGTATAAACAAACATGCAAAATAAATAATCATGTTTGGTTACAATTTTTAATTTTTAAAAACGGCTGCCTACAGGTGGCGCCAACGGCGGTCACCTCCAAAATCCTCTATCTTTTTTTTTTATAAAAGTCAAAAGCGGTTTGGGCAAAAGACGACGTCGCGGCGTTTTTCTCCTTTTATGTCCGATAAACAACCAGCAGGTAAACACAGCCGAGGTTTAACCCCAGTGCCGTCAAACTGCCACACAAGCAACTCCGGAGCTTTGCTCAAATTTGCAGGAAATTTTTCACAAAACATGGCTGCAGGAGGTTTTTGTGTTTCAGATTGTTCCTCCCCTCATCGTCTTTCATGTCGCCACTATCGCCCGGTCCGCTTTGCTCCATCCGTAAGAGGCTGTGTTTTATCAGGGTGGCGTCTGTGCGAACGGACTGAGGTGTACCGACGACGAGGCAGCAGTTTCACACAAACTTTCATTACCAAACAAAAAAATTACCCAAAATATAACATCAACAGATTAATTCAGATTGCTTCAAAGCCGTTTACCTGATGAGGAGCTGAGCAGCAGTGCGAAAAAGACAAATCCGGTCTAGTCTATGTGTCAGAAGGGGGTCGAAACTTTACATTCGCAACTGAAAATTCTCAAATTTAATATTTTAAAATTGAGAAAAAAAAACAAGATTTTTTTACGTACCTCCAAATATGATGCAGCTCATACGAAGCAGGCAGCCGCTCCAGAAATTCTCCCTCCCCCGACTAGAGGTGACTACACAAAACTGCTTCCTCAAAAAAAAAAAAAATCTGAATTAGTTATGAGAAATTCCAAATGATAAAAAAAAAATTCCCACTGCGTTCTTCTCCCCCCTCTCGTGACCCGCTGCGTTACATTTTTAGAAAGCCGTAATGGCGTAGAGTAGAGAATTTGCAGCGGTTTGATAGGTCTGTGGAGGCTCCCCGTAGAAAGCCTTGCACAGGGGGTTAGTGATGCGGTTCCTCCGGTGGAAATTTTCGTCCGCCATATACAAGGGCAGATTCCGAAATTGCAGCTCCGGCCTGAATATTACCCGCATGAAAAAAAGAAAAAGAAAAAAAAAGTCTGGGAAGAAGACAGAAAAAATATTTTGGCCAACAATGACGTTGCACGGAGAAAATCAGACAAATGATGCTGAAGGTAGAGGCACGTTAAATACATAACTAATGTTTTTTACTGGAATACAGTAAATTTAAGATTTGGTCACATAAATGGATAAAAAATATGATTCCGGTTATTTAATGAACTGTTAACTTAATAAATACGTTTTATTTTACATGTAAGAGATAAGATAAGACCTTATTGATCCTACAGTGGGGAAATCTGTGCGTCACCACAGCTCAGGACAGATAGTCACTTCTGTACTCTTTTTCTAAGAATGCAAAAAATAAAGTAAGACAAGACACTATATACAACAGTATGTAGACACATACACAGTATGCATTATGGACAGGGGATTGTGATACAATGTGGAAGTAATAATGCATAAAAAGTATCAGCTATTCTGTTACAACTACTATTTACTATCCAAGTGGTAGACATGTTTATACAGGTATGAACGTATAAGCACACATGTACAATATACATACATCAGGTGGATTATGCATGGAGTGGTGACCGTAGAGTAAAAGTGGCTAGATAAATGTGTCATAAAGCATAACTGCTGCTTGAATGAATCCTTTCAAAGCATGCCATGAACTAAACAAAAAATCAAACTTATAAATAAGATACATCCAAAAATATGCAAATGTTCAATTAATAAATCAAGCTTAAGGTAAGTTTAAATTATTATGATTGTATAACTATGTTAAGCTATTATTTGGCATTATATTGTATACTGACATTAAATTCTATAGTGTGTTTATTAATTGCTCAAATTCTTCAAAAGTGCAAAGATAAATTGATATTGATGCTATCCTGTTGTATACATTAAGTAAAACATAAGTAGTTAGTACATTAAAATAAAAGAAAAACAAAGACTCATTTCTTGCACAATGTCAAAAGTTCCTTGCTGATATAAACATTATATCGTCATCCATACCATACCATACTGTAAAGCACGTTTAAAAACAGAGTGTCAGCTGACCAAAGTGCTGCACAGAGTGAAAACATCAGACTTAAAACCAGAAGATTTAAATTCACCTTCATACACATAGTGTGCATGTCTAACAGCCGTAGGAATAAAAACAGATAAGATCAAAACAGAAATTCTAAAATCTTTAGTAAAACAAAGATGCAGCATAAAACGAACGCCCGAAACCTAAATGAAATAAATAAGTCTTTAGGTTAGATTTAAATTGTGCCAGAGAAGGAGACTGGCGCTCAGACATAGGGAGTGCACTCCACAGTTTGGGTGCAGCAAAATCAAGTTTATAATTATCTTAAATATTTGAAACCATCCCAGATTATTGTATTTGCATGTTGTTTTTCTTTTTCTTTGAATATAGTCTTCATTTTTGCATCATCTGAATTTTCCCATTTTTCTGTTTGTATTTTTGTAGCTTTTTATGGACCTTCTGTTTCTAGTTAAATGGAAGAAAAGGGCAAATCTGACTCTCTCTCTCTCTCTCTCTCTCTCTCTCTCTCTCTCTCTCTCTCTCTCTCTCTCTCTCTCTATATATATATATATATATATATATATATATATATATATATATATATATATATATATATATATATATATATATATAGATAGATAGATAGATAGATAGATAGATAGATAGATAGATAGATAGATAGATAGATAGATAGATAGATAGATAGATAGATGAGCTGACAACTAACATACATATGGATTTGCCAAAGCGCCTCTGTGTGTTGAGAGGCAGGAATTCACGAGTAAGGTTTCTGTTGGCCAACAAATTTAGTTTTCAAAATCACTCAAATAAATTTGCAATCTTTCATCCGTTTTTCTTTTCTTTTCTTGCCTGTTTGAAGGCGAAATTTTGCTATTAAATTTATATGATCTTTTATATATCTTCCTCAACAAGTGTCTACAAAACGTTAACTATAACGGAATGTTGTGTTTATTTTCTTTTTATCGTGATTCTGTCTGTTTCCCTTTAGCGTGATTCTGTGAGCTTTCATTGTATTTCACTTTGCTGCTGATACCCTGAAAATTCTCCTCTGACTCAGAGGCTCTGAGAGAGAGTGAGAGAAATACAGGAATATTCATTCAGTATTTGCGTTAACTCTGGATTTCTTATAAATTTCTACCTTTGTTTAGATGTTGGAACTTATATGATCATTTTATAGCAAGTTTATACTATATATTAATATTTAAGTAAATTGTAAAATAAAATCATTGATATAATAAAAATAATTTCTCTTTACAATGTTTATTTGAACTCTTTCAACTTCCTCTGTTGCTGCAGTTTTTATTTGTATCCAGCAGAGGGCAGCAAAGCAACAGTAAACAGGTCAGTGAGTTCGCTCATGAATTTAAATGAGCGTCTGCTGTCTTTTTCGCTCTTTAGCGCCCTCTGCTGTTTTTTTTTTCTCAAAAAAGCTCTCATTCATTTCTTTCTACCAGCCTCAGCTGAGGATTTAGCATCAGCAAAGAATGATATTTGTTTTATTTAAAACATATGAGATACAGATTTTGTGTGGGTTATTAATCTAAAAGGAAGTAAAAGCTTTCATGGCCCAAAGTCTTGAAATGTGTGGAATTGAAGTCTCAGGTTCCCTGTTTGAGAGCACAGAAGTGTACATGAAACCATTTTAAGGAACTCAGCAAGGTCACAATAATGAATAAATAATTGGGTTTATTTTGGGGAAAAGAAAATAACGATAAAAGGTCATCAATTGCAAAAGTGTGTATCATAATGTTAAAATAAACTCCAGAGCTACTTCCCCTCTAGCTTCACTTTCTCTTTTATAGCAACTGAAGGTTGTCCTGACCTCCTCCCAACCTACTTTTTCATAAATATATTTTCTGAAGTAGCGGAAGAACCAACAGGTGAGTGGGGCTGACAACAACTGTGCTATTTTTTTTTCCCAGCGACCTACTTGGGCTTGAAAGTAACCAGACCGTTGCAGCAAGCTCGAGAGCTTTTACATAAATTAGCTGGCAATTCCCAACACAGTGTAAGGTCCTTCAAAATCTGACAAAAATAACAAAGAAAATAGAACAACAACTTACATAAGCCCCACTCCTGTTGGACAAATTTGTACAATCATGTATTTGAAGTATCACTGAAACGGTTACGTTTATGCAGTTTAGTGTAACTCAGAGCTAATATTTTGGCTTTTTCGTGACAAAAATACATACAAATGGCAACTTGTGGTCCCTTTTAAGACATTTTATATTGAAACAATTTTTTTACTATAAATCTATTTCCTTTTGCTTTTGAGCATCGTTAGATGGTGGAGATAAACGTTTTAGCGGTCAAAGAAGTCGGACCAGACATCCACGCTCTAACCTGTTATTGCAACCCATGGCTAGAAATAAGCTAAATAGCATATCATTAAAGGATTGTGCGAACTCACCAACAATCAGACCAAAACTGTTTATTTAAAACAGTATTTCTTTTTTTACTAGGCAAACCCGATTTACTCACACAGACTGAGAGAAACAATAAAAATGATCTTCTTTGTTTTTAGAGGGATGTAAATGTTTCATCCATGAATATGTTTCTCAAGGTGGTAAATTATTAATGTTTTGGCATGAAAAGTGAAAAGTTTAGAACTTAATTAAACTTTTTGAACATTTTCTGTTCAAAGAGTCGTTCAAATTTCAACATGCACTTTGACTCTCAAATACGAGTCTTCTCGAGTCTGTCTTATGTGCAAGTACCCTCACCCCCGTCACAAGAGCACAGATGTCAGTGTGGACATTATGCACGCATTGAGGTAGAACAGAAAGCACATTTGTGTTTTCATTCTGAGTGATTCATTGATCTTTTTCCATTCTGAAACGTCATAAAGCCCATTTAAAGAAAAACCAGACTTTTAGCTTTACTAAGATAAAACTGTTGTCAGCCGAGATGCATTGACCCATGATGCTGAAACAGAGGCAGCTGATAGGAGACAACACTTAATTATTCTTTTATAAAATATGTGTCAAGATCTTTGAGGTCAACCTTGGAAAAGGCACAACCCTTACACAGGGGTTGGATACAAATACAGAAGGTGCCATAGTTTGTGTATAAAACACAAGTACTGTTTATTTTCCAATGACCTTGTTGGTGGACAGGTTTAGAATTATAACAGTGCAATGACCAAAAGTAAAAGTCACTGATCCAATCTGTGACCAATCTGTTTTGTTGTTCGCTGCGATGTTGGTTCAGGACAACAATAATTGTTGGTTAACCGCAGAGGAGAGAAAGTAGGCAATGATCCAGGCTGTTGTCTGTCGTTCTGCTGGCAAATGGAGGTTTTGTCAAACCAAAGGGTGTGCTTGTAGCACTGATGTATAATAAAGGAAGCAGCACAGATGACATTAACGTGAATTACTGTTTTTTAAATTTTCAATTATGTGCTTTTTAAATCACGCAATGTGTTGCTAGATGTATGTTAGAAATAATATGTTTTTAAAAAAGCATCCACAGTGTTCTTTTAAGCTAGGATTTGCAACATAAAGACCCTTTTCCTCTCTTTAGACTTCCATCTTTACCTCTGATTTCCTTTTTGCACGTCCAAACCTGATTTAATTACACATTTTATATGGAATTAAAGAAGAAGTACTTCTATGTTTAAAACAGTCGATTTGTGCTGATCAAACAATAAAACTGCTATAATGTTCTGTTCAAATGCAGCTTGCAGGTAATCCAAGGATATTGTTGCTTTTCACATGCCTGCAAACCAGAAAAACAGCACTAATCCCACAACAGAAAACCATAATAAGTTAAATGACCGTTTCTACAGCTACTCTTGGAACACCTTATCAGACAAAGGAGATATATTGTAATTTTAGATATGATAGGGTACTAAATGACTAAGCCTCCTACACTTTATTCCTTTCATGACTAGAGAGGATGAAGGGGGTGCTAAAAATAAAACACAATAGTAGCAGGCGCAGTAAACCTCTGTCACC